CTTAGCTGGGCAAGGTATATCTCAGTGATGGCGAACCTTTTAGAGACCGAGTGCCCAAACTGCAACCCAAAACCCACTTATGCATCGTTGGGTGCCGGGTGGGTGTGGCCCATTGGGTGGGCGTGGCTGCGGTGGTAACAGCAGACTGGGTGGGACGAAAAAGTTCAATCAATCAATTCCAACTTTGCAAGATCTTTTTTTTCCCGCGAGAAGTTGAAATTGACTGATTGATTGGACCTTTTTTTTTTTTTTTTGCACACGGCGGCAGAGACCTAAAGCGAAAAGGTTTTATAAAACCCAGCTGAAGGCCTAGGACTGGGGCGACGGCACACGTGCCCACAGAGAGGGCTCTGAGTGCCGCCTCTGGCACCCATGCCATAGGTTTGCCACCACTGGTATATATCTCATTGGTCAGTCCTTACATGTAAATAAGAAGCTTGTACTGGAGTCCCAGGGCCGAGTTCATACTTTGCACAGAAGGTATGTTTTGTGTTAGAACCATAGACATTTACATTACGCTTGATGTTAAGTTCTAAAATATGACCTGCAAATCACATTAAGCTTACATCAAATTATGGCTTAACACGAGTGGAGCCAGTCAAACCAAGCTTGTTGTAATTGTGGAACCCTAAGTGCTTTCTGAACTTTGTTGTTTGCTTGCAGACATTTCATCACTTGACTAGATACTGTAACATCAGCAGTGCTACTGAGTATAAGGTTGCTCTCTGTTAACATACATTAGCTGGCCCTACCAGTGTTTCTAGATTTCTTGTCCAAAGTAAGGGTTGGGAGGCTTATCTGCCAATTGTTCTAATTAATGTCTCATTCCTGAGCTTGTCAATGGTACCCTCATGTTGGTGAGGAGTTTTAGCAACTACATAGATTAACCCGGTCCTTCAAGTTTTCTAACAGTAAACTGATGGCTACTCTAACTGAGTCAACCACCCTGCCACAGGTCATTCTTTTTCCCCATCTTTCCCAGCAACAGAGACTTCACTAGAGAACTAAGTCTTCACATAAAGTGTCCAACATGCTCTTTAGTATAAATTATAAACTGATACCAGGTTGTATTAAATGCAATCCAGAATTCAGTTAATGTGAGGCTCATGTGGCTGATTTGCCTGAATTCTTTAGCATTTTTGGATTTAGTTTGATCTGAAAATATATGAACAGACTCAACCATAGTTTCAACTGAAAAACTGTGATCAAGTTAAATCCGAAAACATGCTGCAGTGAATCATTTAACATCTGTGGCAAGAAAGGTCATAAAATGGGGGCAAAACTCACTCATATCTGTCTTGCTTATCAACAGAAATTTGGGTTCCATGTGTTGAGAACTAGCTGTATTATGTTGATTGGAGAGCCAGTTTTAAATTTAAAAACCAGGAGACCGGCTTCCCCATTTTCAGAAGTTCACATGACTCTGGGACATAGCAACCCTCATATATATACAGCTGGAAGAAAAATCTGGTCTGGTTCTCATTCCAAGCTGGGAGAAAGACGCAGAACTGAACTGAAGGCAGGCTGCATTTTGGAAAGGAGGTCTCCGTTTATTGGGTAGTCAGAAACAACAGTGACAACAGCATATTTCTGGGCTGGCTGACAAAATGGGGGTGAGGGTAGGTGGGCCTTTAAACATTCTTTGGGGCTTTGTGATTTGAGATGCCTGTTCCTGTGCAAGAACATTCCTTTAATATTTTAATGGCTGTTGCCAGATTCCTATGGGATCATGGCTGGCTCTACAGGCAAAAGAGGAAATGCAAATCCTAGATGTTTTGTTTGTCTGACCTAATCTTGTCAGTTTTGGCTCTTTACCTATTGTGTTGCTAATCACACTAGGATACTAATTATACTAGGATACTAAAAACAATATAAATTGTAAGATACAAGCAACAAAGTTATAGTCATAAGATGATGATAGGTAAGAAAGATGAGGAGTATCATAGTAATACAACCTTACTAAGTAGTTTGACAGTGTTTTAGGTATTAGAGTGACGGTATGGGGGAAAAACTATTGTGTCTAGTTGTTCTGGTTTGCAATGCCCTATAGTGTCGTCTTGAGAGAAGAAGTTGAAATAGTTTATGTCCAGGATGCGACATAAACAGCCCTCTTTCTTGCTCGTGCAGTATACAGGTCCTCAATGGAAGGCAGGCTGGTAGCAATTGTTTTTTCTGCAGTTCTAACTATTCACTGAAGTCTATGTCTGTCTTGTTTGGTTGCAGATCCAAACCAGACAGTTATAGAGATGTAAATAATTCCTTTGTAGAACTGTATCAGCAGCTCCTTGGGCAGTCTGAGCTTTCTAAGTTGGTGTAGGAAGAACATTTTTTGTTGTGTTTTTTTGATGACATTTTTGATATTAGGTGTCCATTTTAAATCTTGAGATATCATAGAACCTAGAAACTTGAAGGTCTCTCCTGTTCATACTGTGTCATCTAGTATTGTAAGAGATGATAGAATAGTAGGGTTTCTCCTAAAATCTACTATCATTTCTATAGTTTTGAGTGTGGTCAGTTCAAGATTGTTCCAGCTGCACCACAAGGCTAGTTGTTCAACCTCCCATCTGTATGCAGATTTGTTGTTGTCTCGAATGAGGCCAATCACTGTTGTATCATCTGCAAACTTCAGTACTTTAACAGAGGGATCTTTTGATATGCAGTCATTGGTATAGAGAGAGAAGTGGAGTGAGCACACAGCCCTGGGGGGGGGCCCTATGCTAATTGTACAGGTATCTGATGTGATTTTTGCCTAGCTTCACTTGCAGCTTCCTGTATGTTAGAAAGCTTATGATCCATTTAAAGGTGTGGTCAAGCATGGCTAGCTGATTTAGTTTAGTGAGAAGAATATCTGGAATGATGGTATTGAATGCTGAGCTGAAATCTACAAAAAGGACCCTTGAAGCATAAGTCTTTTGAGATTAAAGATGTTGTAGGATGTGGTGCAGAGCCATATTAACAGCATCATCTGCTGATCTATTTGCTCGGTAGGCAAACTGCAAGGGGTCTAACAGCGGATCCGTGATGGTTTTCAGGTGGGCCAGCACTAGCCTTTCAAAGGTTTTCGTAACTACGGATGTAGTCATTCAGTTCTTTGATGGAGGGTTTTCTTTTGCACTGGAAGCAAAAGAGCGTTTGAAGCAAGAAGGAACATAGCACATCTCTAGTGATTTGTTAAAGAGGCAGGTGAAGATGGGGGCTAGTTGGTCAGCACAAGCTTTCAAGCAAGAAGGAGTTATCTTGTCTGGGCCTGGTGCTTTTCCAGACTTTTGTCTGTGAAATAGACCTTGCACATCATTTTCTATGATCACCAGAAGTAGAGGACCCAAGGGGACGGGGGCCAGTTGTAGGAGGTGTGGCTGTTGGTGGTGTATCCGAGATGGGGATGGTGGAGATTGGTGACAGTGGTTTTCTTCTCAAACCTACAGTAAAACACATTCAGGTCATCTGCCAGTTGTCGATTTCCTTCAGCATAGAGAGGTTTGCTGTAACGGGTGATATTTTTGAGTTTTCCACATGTTTGCCACTTCATTTGTTGAGAACTGATTCCTTAGCTTTTCACAGCAGTTTCTTTTTGCTGCTCTGATCTTCCTTGTTAATACATTTCTGGCCTGACTGTACAGCATTCTATCTTTTTTTCCTGTAGGCTTCCTCTTTGGCACAACGTAATTGCTTGAGTTTAGCCCTGAATCAAGGCTTATTGTTATTGTATATTCGCAAGTTCCTGGTTGGCACACATAGGTCTTCACAAACACTAACATATGATGTTACAACATCTGCGAGTTCATCCAATTCTGCAGAGGTACCTTTGAAAACTTTCCAATGAGTGCAGTCAAAGCAAGCCTGTAGCTTTAGCTTTGCCTCTTCAGTCCAAGACTTTAGTGATTTAATTGTCGCTTTTAAGCCTACTATGTCTATAAACAGGTACAAGGTGAATCATACAGTGATCAGAGTGTCCCAACAGCTGCTCATGGTAAAAGACCCATAAACATCTTTTAGTATGGTGTAGCAGTGGTCTAATCATGTATGCTTGCCTCTAGTGCAGCGGTTCTCAACCTATGGGTCGCGACCCCATTTGGGGTCGATCGACCATTTCACGGGGGTCGCCAAGCAAGGCTGTCTGCCATTTTTCCCCCCCTTTTCTGGCGGGTGCCTTACCTCCCTTGGGCTGGGTCAGCTGGTGGTCAGCCTGCTCCGTCTCTGCCGCTTGTTAGCTACGCCTCCGCTGGCGCAGGGGGCGGAACCACGCATGCACGGCGCTCCCGGGCAGGGAAAGTCCTCGACTTACGACCGGTTGGGTAGTCCTTGACTTACGACCGGTTTAGTCCTCGACTTACGACCGGTTTAGTCCTCGACTTACGACCGGTTGGGGTCACGGCATTAAAAAGGTTGAGAACCACTGCTCTAGTGAGACAGTTGACTCGCTGAGAGTATTTTGGTAGCTCTTGGCTACCAAACGCGGAAGACTCAGCTTTTTTAATGATTCACAAGGATTCTCGCCCCAAGGCGGCTTTCTAAACCAGGAAGACCCATGCAACTGAACGCCAGAGAACCCGAAACTAGGAAGAGGCGTCCCAAAAGGAACCCAGATGAGGGCACGCCTTTCCGATGCTGGTTGAAAGCAGCGTTAGTCCCAATGCCAACCAGCGGGCAAAGGGGGCCGTTTAAAGACACAAAGCAGCGGCGCACCAGTCCGCGTCTCGTAGATCGCTCGCTCCAAGAACGTCTGCATTCGCGCAACCCATTTACCAACTCAAAGCCCCGTGTGTGTGTGTGTGTGTGTGTGTGTGTGTGTGAGCGAGCGAGCGAGCATGCACAAGAACCAGAAATCGGCATACGAAAGACGTAGGTTGTTATCGCGGATAACAGCGACCCTGATTGGCCAAGGCAACCGCTAGCTCTTTTCTTGGTTAACTGCGCTCGTGTCGTGTGAATCCAGAGAGCTGCGGGCAGGAAGGGAGGCAGAGGGAAGAGAGAGAGACTTCTGCGGGTTTTTTCCTTACCGATCGTTGCACGACCCGGAAAGCCGCGTTCAGCATCATGAGACCCCAAGGCTGGGAGACGGTGCTGGGGAGCGGCAGGTAGACGTAATAGGCGGTCAGCGCCAGCCACGCGGCCAGCAGCACCAGGGCCGACTTCATGGCTCTCGGCGCCTGAAGCGTCGTCACCTTGCTCGCCCTCTAGAGCCCGCAGCCCCGCGGGCCTTTTTAAACCGGGCGACTTCTTGCGGCAAAGGCGGCGAGCAGCCTCCCATTCTAGGCTTTACATAATCCGGCCGAGCCAATCGGGGCGGAGAGGCGAGAGGAAGTCCGGCCCTTCCGTCGCCTGCGAGCCGGCCGTCTCGGTTTTTTTCTTTGCCGGAGGCTGAGCTTCGCTTGGGAACCGGGCGGCGGGGCGAGGCGGAGGAGAGTCGCGGAAAGCCGCCGCAGCAGCAGCGTTTGTTCTTGCGTCCCTCCCGCCTTGGCCTTTTGGAGAGTTCCCAAATTAGGGAAAATGGCTCCCGGCCAGGGAGGTCACCTCTAGCAGGTGGGCACGGATGTTCCGGATGTGGCATTCAGAGGTCGGAAGAGGGAGGACTGCGTGTGCTTTTTTCAAACAGCCTAGTGCAGGGGTAGGCAACCTCGGCTCTTTTATGACTCGGGGACTTCAACTCCCAGAATTCCTGAGTCAGCATAGCTGACTCAGGAATTCTGGGAGTTGAAGTCCACGAGTCATAAAAGAGCCGAGGTTGCCTACCCTTGGCCTAGTCATTTCCTTTGATGCTTACCGCACTCTGTCTCCTTTGATTTCCCCCCCCCCGACGTTCTTGTACCAGGTAGTCCTCGACTTACGACCACAATTGACCCCCCAACATTTCTGTTGCTAGGTGAGAAGTTTGTGAAGTGAGCTTCACCCCATTTTACGACCTTGCCACCGTTGTTAAGTGAATCACTGCAGTTAAGTTAGTAACTTGACTAGTCTAGAGCAGTGGTTCTCAACCTGTGGGTCGGGACCCCATTTGGGGTCGATCGACCATTTCACGGGGGTCGCCAAGCAAGGCTGTCCGCCATTTTTTTTGTCCGCCATTTTTTTCCCCCCTTTTCCGGTGGGTGCCTTACCTCCCTTGGGCTGGGCCAGCTGGTGGTCGGCCTGCTCCGTCTCTGCCGCTTGCCAGCTACGCCTCGGCTGGCGCAGGGGGCGGAACCACGCATGCGCGGCGCTCCCGCGCAGGGAAGGTCCTCGACTTACGACCGGTTGGGTAGTCCTCGACTTACGACCGGTTTAGTCCTTGACTTACGACCGGTTTAGTCCTTGACTTACGACCGGTTGGGGTCACGGCATTAAAAAGGTTGAGAACCACTGGTCTAGAGAAAAAAAAAAGGACTGGGGTGGGGATATGATAGCAGTATTCCAATAGTTGAGAGGCTGCCCCAAAGAAGAGGGGGTGGGTCAACTTATTTTCCAAAGCACCAGAAGGCAGGACAAGAAACAAAGGATGGAAACTTAATCAAGGAGAGCAGCAACCTAGAACTAAGGAGAAGCTTCCTAGCAGTGAGGACAATTAACCTGTGGAGCAGAAGCCAGAAGTTGTGGGTGCTGCGTCACTGGATGTTTTTAAGAAAAGGCTGGACAGCCATCTAATCTGAAATGGTATAAGATCTGCTTGAGTAGGGGGTTAGACTAGAAGACCACTAAGGTCCCTTGCAGCTCTATTCTGATTGGTTGTTAAGAGAATCTGGCTTCCCCATTGACTTGTCAGAAGGTCACAAAAAGTGATCATACGATCTCAGGACACTGCAATCGTCATAAATGAGTCAGTTGACAAACATTCTAAATTTTGATCACGTGACCACGGGGATGCTGCAATGGTCGTAAGTGTGAAAAATGGTCATAAGTCACTTTTCTGAGTGCTGTTGAATGGTCACTAAATGAAGTATTGTAAGTCGAGGACTACTTTATGTATTGCATAAATAAGACCTTGGCTTATTTAAAACAAGGAACTATCCCTAAGAGTAATTGAGGGGGAAAGTAATTTAGGGCTACCGTAGGTGGCCTGGAGAAGCTCAGAGGTCTAGTGGAAGATTGCAAAGAGATGTCCCAAATGTGCTTTTTCAAAAGGCAACTGAACATTTCACTTCTCATCCTATGGAACTGAAGAAGCTTCTTGGATGAGAATCAAAATGTCTTCAAGGAAAAACAAAGTTCAAGTTGCCTTTTGAAAAAGCACCTTTGGGACCACTATGACTTGGATGACTGAGCATCTCCATACACGTTGCAAAGAGATGATGGCAGCAGTCCTTGAGGTGCCAGAGAAGGAGGCTAGCATAAAATTTGCCACCCTCCCCCATTGCCGAGCCCTATTTAGCCTTAAGAGATAGCTGGTGATTGACACTGTCCTTTCTATTTTGACAAAGAGCAACTAAAGCAGGCATGTCAAACTGCCAGCCCGCGGGCCGAATGCGTCACGCCAAAACCGCATCCATCCCATTGCCGGCAATGGGGAAAAAATAATGGCTCCCCAGTTTCATTTCTCACCAAATATTGCGTGGTGTTGGGAAAGCAACTGTCTGCCAGTTCTGCTTCCTAACCCAGAATTGGATTAATGTAGGTGGGTTTTTGGCTTGACATATTCAATCTCCTGTCAAGGTGCCCAACTAACAAGATGTATACACCGAGGTGTTTTGAATTTGAGATTAACCAAATGGGCTATTTCTGAGCATGGGTCTGGCGCTCTCTGGAAAAAAGCACCAATTTGGTGTTTGAAAAGAGCCCGGCTGTATGTTGTTACAAATGAGGAGAAAGGTGAAGTGGACATGAGCATCCTCGGACTTGAAGTTCACAGGTCATAGGAGAAGGGGCTACATCAAGCAGGAGAGCTCCTTCATGCAAACTGTGAAGACCAGTGGGAGGAGAGGAAGAGATACCTGTTGAGGAGGAGAAGCACGTGTGGAAACTGTGGCAGACCCACCATCTGGAAAAGACTGCAGAGGACTGAAGAACGAAAATGGGAGAAGCTTGCTAAAGAAATTGTGCAATGCAGGGAAATTGCACTATGGAGATGCAGAGGCGGAAGAAACCAAACCGTGTCATGGGAAAGGTTAACTGTTCTTGCTCATGTGTGCACCTGTCTGTATATTCCATCAAGGGCTTTTCTTGGAAAAGTGCTGTGAGGCTTTTATGCGTTCCCTGAAAACTGAGGCTTGTAGGGGTGGAGGGAGAGAAGTGGAAGCTTCAAGCAATGCATCTCTGCTGCTCAGAAGCTGATATCACCTGAGACTCATCTCTGATCTTCCACGTCACCATCACCCAATCCTTGGGGCATTGATTCAAACTTAAGTCTGAGGGGATCTGTGTCTACCGAGACGGAAACTGGCCTTGATTGCCTTGGATTGGATTGGAAAGACAACAGGAAAAGCAGAGCTCTGATTCCTTTTCCTTATGCGATGATGATGATAGCACCCCTTGAACACCATCATCGGCATTGACAAATTCACCATGAGTCAATTACAAAAGGCAGCTTTACTGGGAACAGTTTCCATCCTGTAACGATATCTGTAACACCATCAAACGCCCAGATCTGCCTCTCCCAGGTCCTTGGCAAGGACTCGCTAGGTAGACAAAAATGCCAAACCCAATCTGAGCATCTGGCTGACTGTGCGAACAACAACAACAACAACCACAATAATGATGCTGACTGTGCAAATAACAACAATCCGAAAGAGTGCTCCAGCAGAGTTGCATCTTGGTTCCCCCAGACTTATCTAATATTCTAAGGCAGTGATGGCGAACCTTTTAGAGACCGAGTGCCCAAAAACTGCCCCTGCCCCTGCCCCACCCCCTGCCCCGCCCCAATCCACCCCCTGCCCTGCCCCCACTCTGCCTCACCCTGCCTGCCCGCAGGGCCACTCATCGCCTCCAGGGCCCGCCACAGATCACCCAGGCAGCCCAGCAGCGCCATGGCAGCCACATCCTCTGCCCGCACCCCGCAGCATCAACTGTGCATGTTGGGGCGTGAGGGCAGAGTCTTGTTTATGCTGCCTGGCTGCCATGTCCTTGGCTGCGCTGCTCCGCGGGGCCATGCTCGGGGGCAACTCTCCTCCAGGGGGGTTGCTGGTGAGGAGGGGGTCGCGGGGGGAGGCAAGGCTGGGGCAACGGCATGTGTGCACACAGAAAGGACTCTGAGTGCCGCCTCTGGCACCCATGCCATAGGTTCGCCACCACTGTTCTAAGGCAATATACCCAAATTTGGAGAACGTAGGAGCTGCAAAGAAGAAACTACCAGAACCTACACTCTCTTCTTTCACAAAACATGCATTAACCCAGAGTTTCTTAACTTTTGGCAACCTTAAGACATGTGAACTTCAACATCCAGATTTCTCGAGGCAGGAATTAAGGACATTTGCACAATCTGGTGCTGTCAAAAGAATCCTTAACTTGTAGTATAAGGATAAGCCCTGCTATAGATGCGCCCTGCAGATTCCTGTCTTGACAAAGTGCTGTTTGGGAATTTCTGGAGTTCTGCCAACTAAAGCAATATATTCCATGAGCTCTCCTTATAGGAATGAGACTTAATATATATTTTTTTACAAAGTAAATTGTAACCAGTTTTGTTAACAGCCAAATTATACTTTCTAGCTCCTTGTTGGGTGGAATGTGATGCTATGAAGGGTGTATTAGAAACCTTAGTCTGGCAACAGAAATTCCGAATTCCTAGCTTTCCTTCTTAAGTGTCAAATGGATGGGAATAAAACAATGGATGGAAAATTACTGAATAGACTACAGGAAGTAAGGAATTACTGAATGGCTACAGGAAGTAAAGAAATTAGTAATTCAGATATCCACATTTGATGTTAAAAAAACCAAAACAAAAAAGTATCTCTAGAAGGAATGATAGAGCTTTTAAAGAATCTTAAATACAACAAAGCAATAGGCCATGCTGAGTTTCTGGCAGGATGTTTTAAGAGCTTTGCCAAATAACTACTCCAAATTTAGTTTCACCTCTGTAACATTATTTCAGAAGGTCAACCTATTTTCAATTCATGGAGATAATCCAGAATCTGTTTTCCTTAAACCAAAAAAAGGATCCAGCTCATTCGGGGTATCATATTGTAACAGTACTGAATCAAGATTTTCAAAATGTTACCTCTTTATTGGTCTACAGACTAAATAACATAATTACTCATCTTACCCATAAGGATCAGTCTGAATNTATTTCAGAAGGTCAACCTATTTTCAATTCATGGAGATAATCCAGAATC